ACTGAAAAATTAAAAACAGTTTCATATTATTACATTATTTACGGGAAATGGGAATAAGAACAGGATTTTATCACCATGGAGGATGTTACAAAATATTACAATATATGTAAACAAATGCAGCTTGGTTCGTCAGTAAATAGTTATTATTTTAGTTGTATCTGGGTGATATAGATCAACTGCAGTCAATCTGAGCTCATCGACTATTGAAAAATAGATTTTTATCTTTATAAAGAAGTTACAGAAATAACAAAATATATGTAAAATAGCAATTATGCAACCTGGAGTTGGAGTGGTACTTGGTACAGTATTCAAATCAAAATCTGTATTGTTGTCGATGTCTGTGATTGAGCTTACAGTATTATCAATTGTTGGTATTTGTGTTGAATCACATGGTAAAGCTGAAAATTATTGAGAATGTTAAGTCTCAGTCTCACTGGGAATTTAGCAATCTGCGATGGTCTGCGATGGGGAAATGTTGAAAAGGTTTTGTGATGCCTGGTGATAGAGAAGATTCTGCAAAAGTCCCCTTAATATAATTTACAGTTTTGCGATGTTCGCCCATAACCTGCGATGCATGTCTAAGGCTGGTTGACGATTGTCGGCGACTGTTGCCGAAAATATTTAGCGTTATATTGGCGATTTTTACTTAGATATTGATAATGGCGATCAAAGGTGTCCATGGCTGCCATTTTCATATATGGTTATAGCCCCGTCAACCGGAAAGGCGTCCTTACTGAGCTGCTACAGCGACGGAAAATTAGCTCAGAGCGTATTAAGGTCGCCATAAGCGTGGTATAAATTAATGTGATGGAAGCTTCAGATACCGTACGGTGGACGCTATTGTCGCGAATAATCGCCGTTGAGATCGTCAAGGAATCGGGAATGTCTTAAAAGCATCTCCATGGGCGCAATAAAAGTCAAATGCACCAAGCCCATAGATTCTTTCAGAAACGTGAATTGGGAACGCAATTGCGTCGCATATATAGCAATTTGATATTGCGACTGTTATAGAATTTGCAAATTTAAAGGACTTCATCTCGCGATTTCTTCACGTTTTTCGGTGTTTAACTACATATTTGGTCGCCATTATATCACGAAAGGTCGTAGTCCGATGTGAAGGGGCTATAACAGATAACCCATTTCAGGTGAAATCAAAATGTTGCAATTCGTTGCCTTTCTATCCCTTCCCCTCTGAGAGCCTATTAACCCACCTAAAAACTACTAGACAAGTTTCCTAGGTTATCTGAAGGTATTCCGAGACACTTGACTCGAGAATATTGGGATCTAGTCCACAGAAGTCCCAGAATTATTTTGGTAGGACCGAATTTCGAACATTTATTAAAATTTAACATAGAACATTCTGAATATAGATAAACCGTAGATTGGAATATGAAGCACAATACCAACTAACTTGGAATTTATAAAGAGGAACCTAAATAGATATTCATTCAATCTATGGCAGTTCAAGTATTTCTTCCTTACCCTTAACACAATCCGCTCCCTTTTCAAATGATAAATCATCTACAGCTACGTTACTGGCAATTGAAACACCAGTTTTAGCTTCAATATATATCTAAAACAAAGCAATCCATAATTGATATATAGAAAAGTTTTAAATGTTTTTATGAGTAAATACATGTTCACAATGCCAAGTCAAGCTGTCTCACATTCATCGTTTCGACAGGGTCGTATTAACCCGTATCACTACACGTCGTTTAGTGGGAGTGGAGTCCAAGTCCAAGTAAATATTTCAAAGTACGGTTTGATTTTCTCTCGGCTTCAAATCTTTAGCGAAAATCTTATTTAATTCTGACTGTCCATATGAATTAAAACATTCAATGACAAGTTACTTTCGTTTTGTTAGCGTCATTATCGAGTGAATTGTTCAGATTGGTTGAAATTTTACTATATATTTGATTGGACAATATTTGGTTATGAATACACAATTTTTCTCACTTGTTTTACCACGGTCTAGAGGAAGTATGAAGAATGGTGATTAATATTATGAACGTGGAGTAAGTAAGACCCTTGAAAACTGTTAAAAGATAAACGCATAAATTCTAACTTAGTCAATAAATCAAATTTGCCCAAAATCCAACTGTGTCAAAATCACACCCCATTCGTCATTCTTCATAGTTCCTCGAGACTTTTTTAATGCAAGTGAGGGAAATTAGGCAGTACGGACAACTGATACCACTTTTCATTATGAAATATTTACTCACTTCTGATTGATATTCTGAAAAGTTCACTAGCTCCTACAAATATTTCGTTAAAATGTTAATTGTTACTGATTTCGGGTTTCGTTTTCGGCTCGGATCGTTAGTACTTGGTTTATTTATTCGTAGATAAATATTGTCCAATCAAAATTGACCCTGAAATATTTCTAGTGAAATCAAATCAAATCACTCGTTCTAAACGCTTTGTTCGCGAACGTAAACAGAAGGAAGGCTGTGTGTCATTAAAAGGTTTTCGGTTAAGAATTGAAACTGACTGAAAATCAAAACCGTACTGTTTTTTGTTTACATGACCATCACCACTTCTTTATTTCCGTTCTATCTAAAGCGGGATCTGATTGGTCAGATATAAATAGCACTAATCTCATTGGATCTTATCTAATCCAAGATAATAAAACTGATAGATATCTACATTTGAACGTTCGATCCAATTTTTTTTTCAAAAAAAGGTTGTTTAAATTGAATAAGTAAAACGCAACTTCCATCATTTTAACTATCCTCACTATGTATGCAACCTTTTGGAGCAAAAAGAACTAACCCTTTCGGAATTTGATAAGTTGAAACTTCTTCGCCCACAAAACCATTCTTTTCCTTGTTGTCCCTTTTTATTAAAGAGTTCCCTCCTTGAATTATCAATAATGTAGAGAGAATTGTTAACCCTCACAACACCAACTGAAAGTGTGTTAACATGATCACCATACATATAGTAGAAGAACCGGAAGCATGCAGTACCACTTCCGTTTAATTCTGGACTTAAAAGAACGACGCTCTTATTTGCTATTACTTTGTTCACGTTATTTTTAAAAGCTGCTGCATCAAGATAGCAATAATAATCTGAAAATATCAATACATACTGAAGTATCAAACTGACAAAGGAAATGATGTATAATCTTGAATGTTACAATTTTTTTGGTCATAGGTCCTTTAGGAAAAGCAGGTAGAGTGGGAATTTTTCTAAATGGAAATGTAATTTTTCCGCACCAAAGTTCTTATTAACTTGCGTTTCATGTTCTATATGCAACAGTACACAATGCATTTTTTGTTGGTAGATAAAAATAGCATATAACGTATTATAACTCCTTACAATTGAACAGTCAGAAGGATGTCGAGTTCATATAGATATTAAACTAAATAACTAACTAACTAACTATTTGTTGTTGACATGTGTCCAGTAGTTGGTCCCGTAAGGTCTGACGCTCTAGTTTTCGTAACACTCCAATTTCCATCATCTTGATTTGATTGCATCCAATTACAAATATCGTTATTGCTAAAGTCGCAGTTCTGTCCTACTACAATACCTGCAATAAATAACTACATATTATTTGATACACAGTGTGGATAGCCTGCAAAAATAATAATGCATGCATACATAGTTTTCTTTGTTCTTAATTTTACAATTATGTCTACTTAAAAGTTCTTTAGCTATGGACGACCTGACTCTGGCTAGAGTACATTGCTGACTTTGGGCCGTATGCAGCGCTCTTACCTTGACTAAAGTTGAACTTTGGCTAAAGTCGAACTTTACAAAGATAGGATTAAGGCTTTCATTTTCTACATTTGATAGTCAAATTTTAGCACGACTTTCGTAAAGATCGGCCGATGCATAACTAAAGTTCGACTTAAGTCTAACTTTAGTCAAAGTTTAGGTAAAGTACGAGCGCTACATATGGCCCTAAGGGCCGTATGCTGTGCTCGAACTTAACGCTTAGTCAGACTCAGGGTAAAGTCAGACTTTGTAAAGTTCGACTTTGCAACTAATTCATTTCGGTATGCATGGCTTCAACTTCAACCTCTGTGTATGTACGGAAAACCAACGTTAACTTAAAGAATTATAATTTAATTTCGAATATATGTGTCAATAGAAAAAGTGATTGATACATTTTTTAACTAAAATTTTTATCGGACACTTACGGACAGCAAGAATTTGGCATGTTTCTCACGCCCTTTTCCGTGGGGTCTTTACTATAAAAAATCTGTAGCGATGTTAAAAAAAGAGAGAAAAAAAAAACTGGTGGTGGTATAGTGGAGATAATGGATTCTAGAAATTCAAATCTGAAGATGTGTGCTATGATACCGGCACAAATGCACCCTCTGCAGAACGATTTTGATAACGATATGGATTTCCATCAAGATATCTTCACTTTGGCTCAACCGACGTCAGGTTAGTTAAAGGGATACAGTCCTCTGATTATACATAATTTAAACTTCTCAAATCCGCAAATATCAATAAAAAGTAAATATTAATATGTCACTTCAAGTTTGACAAGTGCAGTCGAAAGAAGATAAATTACGAGACTGATTCCACGTTTTCGAAGTAAGTTGCATATGCACGATTCGAACTGTTACGTAGCACCTTACTTTAAGCAACCACTTTTGCATTGGTACTGGAATTTGTAAAATATATGATTATATTGTACGTATTGTACCAGAAATCATTTCAAAAATATGCAGAACGCCATCATTCGGAAATCTGAATCGGTCTTTAAATGGTCAATATGGTAAATATCTATAATTTGGTGTAATGGGTTGAAATAAACTTCCATGGGTACAATATCAATCGCAAACGTATATAAAGTACGGCTAAAGTCTACGGAAGCATATAAGGGCCATTAATTTTTTTTTTTTTTGAATTTTCAAGTTAGTATGTTGAAGTTAGTACTTTGAATTTTCAAGTTAGTATGTTGAATTTCCAAGTGTTAGTAACTTGAAAATTCAACATACTAACTTGAAAATTCAAGTTACTAACTTGAAAAGTCGTTGAATTTTCAAGTTACTAACTTAAAAATTCAAGTTACTAACTTGAAAATTCAAGTTACTAACTTGAAAATTCAAGATAATAACTTGAAAATTCAAGATAATAACTTGAAAATTCAACATACTAACTTGAAAATTCAACATACTAACTTGAAAATTCAAGTTACTAAATTCAACATACTAACTTGAAAATTCAACATACTAGCTTGAAAATTCAAGATACTAACTTGAAAATTCAAGTTACTTAATTGAAAATTCAACATACTAATTTGATAATTCAACATACTAACTTGAAAATTCAAGTTACTAAATTCAACATACTAACTTGAAAATTCAACATACTAACTTGAAAATTCAATATACTAGCTTAAAAATTCAAGATTCTAACTTGAAAATTCAAGTTACTAACTTGATAATTCAACATACTAACTTGAAAATTCAACATACTAACTTGAAAATTCAAGTTACTAAATTTAACATACTAACTTGAAAATTCAACATACTAGCTTGAAAATTCAAGATACTAACTTGAAAATTCAACATACTAACTTGAAAATTCAACATAGTAACTTGAAAATTCAACATACTAACTTGAACATACTAACTTGAAAATTCAACATACTAGCTTGAAAATTCAACATACTAGCTTGAAAATTCAAGATACTAACTTCAAAATTCAAGTTACTAACTTGAAAATTCAACATACTAACTTGAAAATTCAACATACTAACTTGAAAATCCAAAAAAAAAAAAAATGAATGGCCCTAATACGCTTCCGTAAAAGTCTGCTACCACCCTATCTTAGACTTTACTTTAGTTTTGTCCACAAAACGCTCGAGTAAAGCATGACTTACATCAAAGATCGAGCGCAGCATACCTAAAGTCTGACTTAAGCTCGACTTTGACTAAAGTACGGCTAAAGTTCGACCGCAGCATACGGCCCTTAGTGTCCTTTTATAAGATAGTGAGAAATACTGAAAACCAAATCCATCATTTGGAATGTTAGGAAGGTACAGCAAATATTGAATTTATACATACAATTCATAGATTTAATCAGATAAATCGAAATTCTCTTCGGAGGTCATTCAAATATAATTTTGTCATTCAAAGAAATATAAAAGCGACTTACTTTTCATTAAATTATACATCACAAAAGCTACAACCATACTGGTCTCCATTTCTAGGTATATAGGTAGGAATACCTGTACAAATACCACGGGGACGGGATAGACATAAACAATAACTAAGTAATGAAATATTAATGTTAGAAATAAGACTTTTGTCCTTCACTTCCCGATCAACCACATATATCTTAGTTCTGATTGGCTAAACTCCACTACCATTTGGACAAAAGAAAGGGCAATATGAATTAAAAAACATATATTCAATTGAACATGTAAAGACATTGTCACCTGCAGGTCAAATTCAACTTAAACTAAAATAAGCAATAAACTTCTATAGAGGGTACATAATCACAAATCAGAAAGAAAGAAAGAATACTGTTACTGCTTTGAAATGTAAATCGTGGGGTTATATATGTAGTTTTAAAACGGTTTACACAAACTCGGAAACCGATAACATCAAATATCGTTATATTGAAAATTTCTATTTCGCGATACACAAAAAATCCCAAATCGCCCAACTTTAATTGTAGCGTCGGTTGTTAATCGAATCATCTTTTTGTTAAAGGATTGTTGATTCTACCAATTGATTCTCCGTCACATGACAGTCAACAAGTTAAACGTCAATGCTACCTTATAGATACAAGAATAATATTATTTTCAGTCACAAAAACGAAATAAAAACGATACTTCGAAAATGGACGCGTCAATGATACCTTACAAAATACAGAATATCGATATATTTTAAAGTGTGACGGAGACCTAGCACCATCGGAAGATAGTTGGGATACCAAACTTGGAACTTTGTGATGCAGTTCTCTGAGTAAAATTGGCAATCTTATTTTGCAAAGTAATTAAAATTCCAAACACCTTGATAACATAAATTATATTTTACTGGATAAAAGGAGAATTGCGCACCTACCAAAAAAAAAAAACAAGTACTAACGATCCGAACCGCAAAACTAAACCCGGAATCCAAAACATCATTTTGGCGAAACATTTATGCAGCTAATGAACTTTTCACCTGAGGAAATATTTCAACCAAAAATGAGTAAGTATTTCATAATGAAAAGTGGTATCAGGTGTCTAGAAGAGTAAGCATACCCTGCCTGGCGCCACATCCGTCATATCTGCTCTATACAACAAACTACAAGAAGGAACGCGCCAACAAAAGAAGTAGCGACAACGAAGTTCAAGGGACGTAACTAATGAAAATACATTTATCCAATTTCAATAGTCAAGGGTGGGAACTGATCACAATAATTGTTATATTATTATAAGAAAACAGACGCGTATCTCGCACAATCATTTTAAGTGTCGCAGAAGTTGAACGATCTAAAAGATTCTGGTAAGAAACCTTTCAGTGGGACCCCACCTACCATTTGTAACAGTAATTACGAAATTATTGACTCTCAACCAACTATCCAACTCTGGCCATCTTTGAATAGCTGAACATTTTTTCTTCGATGCCAAATTTCGTATATCGTCCTTTTCACTGAGATCCAAATACTTGATCGTTGGCGTTCGTAATCTGATAAAGTGAAATAAGTTATCCTGCGCTGAATGTATTAGACGTCGCAAGAAACCCAGAGTGAATGGCACCTTTACCGGCGTAACGCCTTGGATCCCCACTTTCACAAGCATTGGCAGATACCTTTTCATACTACGCAAGGTAAAGGAAAACCCGTACTACACGTTATTTGTGTGTCATCATCACGCACTGTACACTTAGAAATGGCATGGTCCATGAACACTGAATCTTTCTTATGGGTATTCTCGCAATTTACAAATCGACGTTGGAAACGGATCTAACTGGTGCTGAAAATGAATTTGGTTACTTACTTCGTGTTTCTCTTTCCCCCCCCCCTACCGACCGGTGATAAGCTCAAAGAAAGGTTCATTATATGTTTGTTATATATGTTTGTTTATATATGGGCAAATTATAAAATCATTGGTGTGCGATTCATGTAATACTTGTATATAAAATTCCACAGTGTGCGTTTGTGGTTTTAGTTATAATATAGGTTATAGTGATACCATAAGATAAAGAAAAAAAAAGTTCTGTGATATGGAGAAATAGGAAAAGTATGTGTTCACTGAAGTGTTCAATCGTTCTTTTTCATTTTTTGATGTAGCCTCATCAATAAGGGAGATATGTTCGGGATTCGTGTTACGGACTACCTGTAATGTTCGTGAATGTTGATCTAAATGATTCGAACATGAAACATTATGGGTTGTTCAAGACAATGAAACAATGACACTGCCACATTCATCATTTGTCATCGCCATGTCTTCGTTCAGGTTGATCGAATACATATTTGAAAAACATCGCATCGATCTTCATCGCATCCTAAACACTAAACACGATTGACCTATTGGAACAATTCAATACCGAGGAGGGATCAGATTCACGACCGAGAGATGTCAAATGTGAAATAGGCTAATAATATGCACTGCCATGTTAAACCAGGATGTTACAAGTCACAGTTTACTAATGAACATCCCAGAGTGGTGATTAAGCACTTACTCGGAAATCGGTTGACTCTGTAAACATGCCTTGTATGTGTATAGATTCTAGAAAGAGTGGAGTTAGCCGCAAAGCGTATAGAGCCAGAAGTAGTTGGAGCTATATTTTAATCAAACTAAAAAAATACAAAATAAGACATGATAACTAATAAATGAACAAACCAATAAAATAGGCTATAATTATCTCATCAAAGAGAATGGTGATTTTCAAACATGATTTATAGAAAAAATCGTATCAGACGAACTGCACGCGATCTAGGTCTTTTATATGATCACCGATCTCGCCTTTTAATTCCGTACAATCGCGACAAATTTTACATCTTGTTACTTTTAATTTTTGAATATTTGTTTTCTCTAAAACATCGTTGATTTTATTGGGACAAAGTCGACAGCAATTACCGATATCTAAAACATCTGCGTTTTTAACATAAAGAGCAATTTCTAACAATTCTTTATATCGGAACTGTGAACAATTAGCCATTGTGATGTTTTTCAATGGCCTTTTAACACAACTTAACTCTCTTAAAACCGATGTTGCGCTAATTGAGGAACATTTGGAAATATCCAATGATCTTAGACCATCTAAACATGAAATTGGTGGAATATCTGATAATTTATTACACTGTATGTGCAGATCGACCAATTTGCGACACGGTTTGAAATGATCTTCCAATGTAAACTCATCTAAATCGTCAATCCAATCACCTTTTATCGACATCTTTTTAACAGTACCAGCATGGTTCTTTAACATTTCTTCAAATTCTTCGAGAGTTTCAACACTAGCTTCTAAAACAGCTGGAATAAAAAAGTTATTATTGTGGTGTCTTCAGTGTTCAATACAATCGTTCCGATTTCCGAGCAACATGCGTAAGCTTCCAAGGAATAGCCTTGAACAACCGCCACAAAGTTTCTTAACACAATAACCGCTAGATTAAGATCCAAAGGTGTACACATTTGGTATATTTCTTACCCTTTTTTGGACGAACTTCCTCTTTTGAACCTGTAGATGAAAATTGTACAAATCTTAGTTTAATATTAAGTAATATTATTAACGTTTCATATAACACAAAATCAAAGGAGTGGTACACAAGAAGCTCAAGGCTTAGCAAAACCTACTAACCAAATGCAAAAAAGCATTAACCCCAACCTCCCAGTTTATCCCACTTTTTATACGCACACGTTAAATTGGGGTGTATTTTGTCGTCACCCATGTCCGCCCGTCCATCCGTTTGTCCACAAATGCTCGTACACACTCCAGTAGGCACAAATCTTATTACCACATGTTCTTTAAAACGCGTTCAATTTTAGCTTGTAAACACTCTAGAAGGTTCGATTATTGACGAAACCTGGTGTGAGTGTTTGTTTTCAACCAAGGAACAACCCTATCGAATATCGGAAAATTGAAAAATATTTAGTATAGCTCGTAAACACTCTAGAATTCTTGACAGCTTTAGACGAAATTTTGTTTATGACTTAAAGGCTGAAAATTTCATACTGGTAATTGTGACTGTACTGCCAAATGTTTTTATTTAAAATCAAACCTGTCAGTTGGAGTATATAACCTTGCCTGGCAAGCTATCTTTGTAAATGAATTTAAAAATATGTTTTTATAAGTTTGTGCCCCAAAATACTGTTATAATGCTACAAATTAATTTAATTTTTCGATTTCTTTTTTTTAAATTGACGCCTCCACTGAGTTGCCGCATTTTGAAATCAGCTTTGTCAGTGTTGTCCCCCATTGAGTAATTCTGTCCGCTATTTGTACCCTCAGTATCGGGAGGAGGCTGGCTCCGACACTGGCTACAGGTATAATATTGTTGCCGTCAGTTTGATCTCCGGATGACGAGATTTTTTCAACTATTTTCCAAGCAAAACAGTAATAACCAGGTAAGGTAAATAGTACCTGAAACGGATCCTTTTAGTGAAGAATTTTTTCCCATTGATATGTTAACA